CTGTGCACGAATCCGTGTCAGTAACTCTCTGCCCACTACCCTGCCCTCCTGTAGCTCCCATTACCCTCTCATAGCTTATTGTCCCACCCTCCTGATCCTTTTGCATATTACATCTTTACTATATAGGACTAGGGGCCCAGTGCACATATTTGTGCACCTTAGAAGAACTGTGAGCCTTGAGGCTGCGGTGGGCACAGGGGCGGATCTTGGCCCATCCTCTGCAACCCTGCCTGGACCCTCCCACCGCAGCCCTGCTCCTGCTGCTGCCACTCCCGCATGCTGACATCGCCGGCCCCGCTCACATCTGCTGAAGGTGTAGAGCGATTTGGGCTGGCACCAGCCCCTATTGCCCCTAGAAGCAGGAGGAGGTGGAGAAGCCCTCAGGGGTGATCGGGGCCAGCAGCCACTGTTCCCACCTGCTGACAGCGCCGAGGGATCGGGACTGGTACCAGGCGCCAGCAGTGGGTGTTGAGCAGCAGTTCCAAAGCAGGCAGCAGGTGCAAGTGGGGCTGTCGCTGGTAGCAGATGCAAGAGGCAGCTGCCAGCCCCAATTGCTCCTCAGGAGCAGGGGAAGGTAGAGAAGCCCTGAGAGGTGATAGGGCCGGCGCTGGGCACCAGCAGTGGGTGTGAGCGGGGCTGGTGCCAGTTATCAGGTGCAAGCACCAGGCGGGACTGTGGAGCATGGGAGCAAATAACTTTCAGTAACCACCAGAGACTAGCCCCGATGACAGTGACCAGTGCCCCACCTTGGTCTGGCACCCCCACTTACTTGCTTTACCGTTCCACCGCAGCCAACACTTGCCATCTTCCATGCATGACCCCTGGTGGTGAGCGCACATCATAGCGAACTGTTGTTGTTCAGTTGTTCCACTGTTCAATTTGCATATTAGTCTTTTATTATATAGGATAGGATTTATTTATTTATTTTTAATGTATTTTTGTTGATTTCAGAGATAGAGAGGGAAACATTAATGATGAGAGGCATTCCCCATACTGGGGACTGAGCTACCTGCGCATGTACTCTGATTGGGACCAGAACAGTGACATCCTGGTTCTTTGGTCCATGTTCAACCACTGAGCCATGCTGGCGGGGCTATTTATTTTTTGTTAATCTTCACCTGAGGATATTTATTCCATTGATTTTTAGAGAGAGTAAAAAGGAGGGAAGAGAGAAAAAGAAGGCAGAGAGGGAGGGGGAGAATGTAATGTGAGAGTGACACACTGATTGGCTGCCTCCCACATCCTGTGATGGGGCTGGTTATTAACCTGCAAAGCATGCATGTGCCTGGGAATTGAATCTGAGACCCTTCTGTGCATGGGCTGATGCTCTAACCACTGTATCACCTGCCAAGGCCAAAGCTGGAGCTCTTGAGACAGGTGGGAAGGTCAAGCACTATCCCACAGAACTCTGTCAGTGCTTTCCACCTCATTTTTAAAAAAAATATATTTTATTGATTTTTTTACAGAGAGGAAGGGAGAGAGATAGAGAGCTAGAAACGTTGATGAGAAACATCGACCAGCTGCCTCTTGCACACCCCCTACCAGGGATGTGCCCGCAACCAATGTACATGCCCTTGCCCGGAATCGAACCTGGGACCTTTCAGTCCACAGACCGACGCTCTACCACTGAGCCAAACCGGCTTTGGCTCCACTTCATTTTTTGACGAAACAAGAAGCAAACAATAACTCCATGTGCAAAGCATTGAGCTGCAGACAGACACAGCCATGGCCTTTGGAAGTGGGAGGGTAAAAACACTGGTGGTGTAAGAAAACTACCAGATTAAATGATGTTAAATCATCTGTCTTGGGGGACAGGTGTGTGTGTGTGGGGGGGGGGGCGCGGGGAAGATGACTGGACTCCAGAAGTTCAGAGGAAATGCTCATTGGTCCAATTCATTCTGCTCAAACAGAGCATAATAAAAGTGAGATTATCCTACATTTAAAGCTTCATGGTTCTGAAATTGCAATTTAACCTGATCTTTTATTTTTATTTTTAAAATATTTTAAAAATATATCTTTTTATTGATTTCAGAAAGGAAGGGAAGAGAGAGAGAGAGAGAGAGAGAGAGAGACATCAATGATGAGAGAGAATCATTGATGGGCTGCCTCTTGCATGCTCCCCACTAGGAACTGAGTCCGAAACCCAGGCATGTGCCCCTGGCCAGAATCAAGCCCAAGGCCTTTCAGTCCGCAGGCTGACATTCTACCCACTGAGCCAAGCCAGCTAGGGCTTAACCTGATCTTTTAAATTGATTTTCACTTTTAGCAGCAAGTGCAAGCAGGCTAGAGCTGATTCAGGATGGTGTCTCTACACGTCAAGCCAAGAGATACTCTACAGCTAAAGAGAGGAAGACAATGCTGAAACAGGTTTGGCTCAGTGGATAGAACGTCGGCCTGTGGACTAAAGGGTCCCAGGTTCGGTTCTGGTCAAGGGCATGTACCTTGGTTGCCGCCACATCCCCTGTGGCAGGTGTGCAGGAGGTGGAGGAGGTGGCTGATCCGTCTCTCTCATTGATGTTTCTAGCTTTCTATCCCTCTCCCTTCCTCTCTGTAAAAAGTCAATAAAATACATTAGAGAGAGAGAGAGAGAGAGAGAGAGAGAGAGAGAGAGAGACAAGAACATCTCTCACCACAGAAAACTGGAGGCCAGTCTAACAGGTCACCTGCTCCAGTGCAAGTTAAAAAAACTATTCATGAGCAGGTGCTAGGATAGCATTCAGGAGCATTGCACGGTCCTACCACCTTCCTGACAAATTGAAAAACCCATTTCAGCTTTCTCCACACTTGCCTGGGGTCTACAGATCTGTGACTCAGAAAGTACCTAATTGGGTACTTTCCCCTTTTCTTTTCTCTTAAGGGGACGTGTCAACAACTTGCAAAGGCATTTTCCCACCAATTACTAGAGGTGGGGTAATTAAGCCACAAAAATTCTCCCACAACTGGTTTTCATACGTGAAATATTTCTGCAATTTACAAGCTACGAAGCTAGAAAGGACGTATTTCAACAGACTTGCCAAACTGCGTGGGTGCAGCATTCCGAGAGGAATTACTCAGATTTTAAATCTCAGGTTCAAAATGACCTAATTTTTCACTCCTTTACAATATTATTCTCAAAACGCAAGTCCAATGCCATTTAGAAATAGGAATTAAGTTAAGACTGATCAAATCACTTAATCAAAATGCAAACATTTCCATCATAAGGCCCCATAAAGATACCAACTTGTTTTAACAAGTTAGATCTAAGATGAATGTATTACAGTTCATATAATCAGGGGCTTCAACTGCAAGAACACTATCCAAAAGACACGAGTACACATGGAGAACATACACGTTCAAGAAAAGTCACATGGGCCAAACGAGTACAGCAAAGACACACCTTCCCAAGTTTTCAGTTTTTCATGGATTTCTTTAAAAAAAAAAAATCAGCACACCTTTATTTCTATTGCTTTAATCCAGGTCAAAAGAGTAAAACCGGCATTTTAATGGTAAAAAGTACCATTTCGCTGTACTATAGCTAGCCGTTCAGGAAGGCTCAACGTGCCCCGCTAATTGGTGCCAGGAAAAGTCTAGGCTCTGTGGCAGGTATAATGAAGAAGAGGGCAGGAAAAATTGTATTCTCTTTAAAGAAGAGACCAATGCAAAGCCTGGTGAGCATAAGGAGGAGCCTCTATGAAAGTGAGAAATAGGCGAAGGCTGAGGTCCAGGGAAGACATGATTGGCTGGAGAGCGAAGAGAGGGAAGCTCTGGGAGAAAACTGTAGAAAACCAAAGGAGCCGAGCTACACGGTGAGCGGCCGGGAGCCCAGTTCGAAGATCTATCGGGAAGCGGGCACCAACGGCTCCGCCCCAGGTTTCCGCGGGTCACAAAAGGATAACGGACACCCTCCCAACGGCGGGCCCGGGGGCTCCGCGCGCCACTTCCACCTGCCGGCTCCGCGCGCCCACTCGGCGCTCCGCCCCGGGCCCCGCCGGCCATGCGGGAGCGCGGCAGACCACGGACATTTTCCTTTCGCTCTGTTGTCCGCACACACTGGTCGCAGCCGACATTGTCTGCCCGAAGGCAGTCGCCAAGGGCAAACGCCGTCCCGCGAGAAAAAGGAGGCTCAGGCGTTTCTCGTCAAAACAAGACTTTATTGGGGGCGCCGGGGCTGCCTCGCACGCGCCGCCCGCTTCCCCACGCGGTCCCCCGGGTCCGGTCCCCGCGCTCCGTCGGCCATCCCTCCCCCGCGGTGCCCCGGGCCGCGCGCAGCGCTCACCAGCTCCCGAGGTAGCGGCTGCCGCGCGGCGACGCCCGGATCCTGAGTGCGGCCCGGGCCTGGGGCGACGGATTTTGCCGCTGTTGCACCGTGGAGGGCGGGAGTCGCGCGACTAGCGGCGACGGCGCAGTGACGTCACGCGCCGCGGGCCAGCCAGCGCGCGCGGGGGCCGTCCCGCCTGCCCCAATCCGGGAGGAGCCCGGGAGAGCGGGCGGGGCCTCAGTGGCGAACGGCAGACCGATTGGCAGAGGAGGAGGAGCGAGAGGGCAAGCTGGCGAGTAGGAGCGAGGCGGGGTGGGCCGGGGCAGCGCGGAAGTCTCGCGAGGCGAGCTCGAGCGCAGTGTGGCGGCGGCGGCGGCGGCGGCGACGGCCAGATCTGGGCTCGGGGTGAGGAGTTGGTATTTGTGTGGAAGGAGGCGGAGGTGCAGGAGGAAGGGGGAAGCGGAGCGCCGGCCCGGAGGGCGGGAGGAGGCGCGGCCAGAGGAGGAGGCCGAGGCGCGGTGAGGTGGGGCGCCGGGGTGAGCAGCGGCCGAGCGAGCGCGGGGCGCACCGAGGCGAGGAGGCGGGGAAGCCCGCCGCCGCCGCCGCCGCGCCCGCCCCTTCCCCCTGCCGCCCGCCCCCTCTCCCCCCCGCCCGCCCGCCCGCCGCCTTCCTCCCTCTGCCTTCCTTCCCCACGGCCGGCCGCCTTCTCGCCCGCAGCCTCGGAGCCGAGGCCGCCGCGGCCGTGGCGGAGGAGCCCTCAGCCATGGCCTCGGGCGACACCCTCTACATCGCCGCGGACGGCTCGGAGATGCCGGCCGAGATCGTGGAGCTGCACGAGATCGAGGTGGAGACCATCCCGGTGGAGACCATCGAGACTACCGTGGTGGGCGAGGAGGAGGACGACGACGACGATGAGGACGGCGGCGGCGGCGACCACGGCGGCGGGGGCGGCCACGGGCACCTGGGCCATCACCACCACCACCACCACCACCACCCGCCCATGATCGCGCTGCAGCCGCTGGTCACCGACGACCCGACCCAGGTGCACCACCACCAGGAGGTGATCCTGGTGCAGACGCGCGAGGAGGTGGTGGGCGGCGACGACTCGGACGGGCTGCGCGCCGAGGACGGCTTCGAGGACCAGATCCTCATCCCGGTGCCCGCGCCGGCCGGCGGCGACGACGACTACATCGAGCAGACGCTGGTCACCGTGGCGGCGGCCGGCAAGAGCGGCGGCGGCTCGTCGTCGGGCGGCGGCCGCGTCAAGAAGGGCGGCGGCAAGAAGAGCGGCAAGAAGGGATACCTCGGCGGCGGGGCCGGGACGGCGGGCGGCGCGGACGCGGGCAACAAGAAGTGGGAGCAGAAGCAGGTGCAGATCAAGACCCTGGAGGGCGAGTTCTCGGTCACCATGTGGTCCTCAGGTGAGCGGCCGCGCGCGCCGACCCGCGCCGGCCCCCGGGATGTTTTTGTTTTGAAGGGAAGCCATGTTTTATGTGTGTGATGGGCGCCGCCATCTTCTTCGCAGGGCAAGTATGGCGGCCCCAAAAGATGGCGGGCGGGCGGGCCGCGGCGGGGGCGGCGGGCGGCGGCCGCGGCCCGAAAAGATGGCGGCGGAGGAGCGGCGCCGCCCGCTAGGCCGCAATGGCGTAGTTTCCCTGGGCTGGGCGGCCCCGCGGCGCGGGCGGGGCGGGGCGGGGCGCGCTCGGGCCAACGGACGGCCCGTCGGCTCGTTGTCCTTGGCCCCCGCCCGCCGGGCTCCCCGCGAGACCCGGGGCTCGGGGCGCGAAGAGGGCGTTGGTGGGGCGGACGGACCTCGCGCCCGGCCCGGCGAAGCGTCCCGCCGCCGCCTTTCTCCCGCCCCCCAGCAGAGGGCGTCGCTCACCCTCCCGGCGCCCCCGCCCCCTTCCCCGGACCCTCCACTGCTCCCGGGAGGCGCCTTCCGAAGGGGGCGGGAGTGCCCGGGCCCTTTGCTCCCACGCACCGCGCAGGCCAGGCCCCGCCCTTCGTCTTCGCGGGGCGGGACTTGGGCGGCACGTCGGGCCGGCGTCTGCGGGCTCGGCGTCGGCAGGCCTGTCACCGTGTCGCGGCCCGGCCTGCACCGCGCTCCCCCGCAGCACGTCGTGGACAGGGGCCACGAGTGTTTGTAGATAATTGTTAGCTCTTGACGCTTCCGGAAGTTCTTTTTTGAAGTATGTCTCTTTGGCTATTCCACTAAATAAAATCTAGTACTTGGTAGAAAGCTACCTTATTTTTCCCGTGAAAAGTACTCTAGGAAAGCGTCTTTTTCTATTTTAATACTGCTTTGAATGAAGACCAGAAAAGTATCTCAGGCATGTGTAAATCTCTTACATCGGGTATTTATACTTTTTAAAAGGCGGTTTTTTATGTCTGTATCTTATTTATGAATCTAACAAGTTAAATTGCTGGGGTATTAAATAGGCTGAGAATAATCCTGCCATAGCTAATCTACTACCTGTGATGGTTAAGTTTAGTACTAAGTTACTTCAATGCTATTTCATAAATTCTCAAAGTTGCATGGAGTCTCAAAATGTGACCTTTGAGTGTTAAAGGGATTTTAAAATTTAGAGGAATGATTAAATAGAAGGTGAAAAGTCTGGACTGAAAAGCTGGTCTGGTTGTATCTACTGAAAGCACCAAGTTGAGATAACTAATAACTAAAGCTGTTTGGATGTGGCTTAGTTCGGTGACTCAGAACTAAGCAAAGGGGATCAGAGCTGCTGCCAAAATCCCAATAGCAAGTGCTAACAGGCGCTGCTCTGCATTTCAGAGGGCCTTTAGCTTAGCAGGAGCGCTATGTTAAAATGAAATCTACTTTAGGACCTACTGGTTATCAAAAGATGCCTTCTGTGTGTCTTGGTAGCTCAGAATAATTGCCCTCTGAGTATATTGGAACTAAAAGCCATGTTTTTGCACTAATAGGCATGGAATAAGAGAGGAGAAAAAGTGTTGGTTATATTGAGTTGGCTGAATGGAGGGTTTCTTTGAAATTCGATATTTAGTTAGAGACATATTAACCACGTGACATTAAATTTACTTTTTCTTATGGTATGGTCATGTTGGTTTTATGGTAACTTAGAAAACCAGAGAATTTTTACAGATTCTGCATTTGATCTTACTAAATTGCTAAACTATTTTCTTTTTTTTTTTTTTAATATATTTTATTGATTTTTCACAGAGAGGAAGAAAGAGGGATAGAGAGTTAGAAACATCGATGAGAGAGAGTCATCGATCAGCTGCCTCTTGCACACCCTCTACTGGGGATGTGCCCGCAACCAGTGTACACCCTCTACTGGGGATGTGCCTGCAACCAATGTACATGCCCTTGACCGGAATCGAACCCGGGACCCCTCAGTCCGCACGCCGACGTTCTATCCACTGAGCCAAACCAGTCCCAGCCGAAACTATTTTCAATACCTTGAAAATTTGATAATGAGGCTTACTTGATGAAGTGGTTCATATCAAATCAGTCAGGGGGAAAAGTCTCAGGGCTTGACTAATGGTAGTTAATTTACACTTAAGTCTAGCTTAAAAGTCATTACTATCCCTGTGCAAGTGGCCTCTTACCTGGTTGCACAGTATGGGGTAATTGTCTTCCCCCACCCCTCCTTTTTTTTTAAAAAAGAATGTCTGGTGTTACAGAATCCTCTGTGCATAAAGGTGGTAAATATTTGATGGCAATAATATAGTACAGTCTATTTTCTAAGACATGTTTTTTTTTGTGGTTTGGAATTATTGCCAACGAGAAGGTAAATAGTTGGTAATTAACTATACATGTCCCAAGTTAAAATTCTGCATACACTGTAGTTTCAGCTTCAGATTTGAAATAAGGAGCTAATTGCTAAGAGGTGAAGAAATCAGTCCTGTGGGCATGGCTCAGTGGTTGAGTGTGTCGACCGAGACTGGAGGTCACAGTCGGATTCCTGGTCAGTGTACATGCCTGGGTTGTGTGTGGCTCAATCCCCACTGGGGCTTATAGGAGGCAGATGATCAATGATTCTCTCATCATTGATGTTTCTGTCTTTCCTTCTCACTTCCTCTCTGAAATCAATAAAGATCTATTAAGGAAATCAAAGCAGGTTAATTGTTAGGCTGTGTGTGTGTGTGTAGGCAAGCAATGTACTCACTGCTTCACATACTTACTCTCATTTGATCCTAGTCTCAAAAGTTTCACTATACTTGAGTTTCACTAAAACATTGTCTTAGGTTGGAATGAGTTCTTGAGGTGACAGTTTGTCTAACATCGAACTTAGTTATCTGAAGTTCTTAATAAAAGTAATTGTATATATAGGGTTATATTCTCAGGATTCTAGTTACTTATTAGTGCCTCTTGTTTTGTTTTGTGTTGTTTTTTTTGTTTGTTTGTTTTGTTATTTAAAACTGAACAGGGGCCCAGCCCAGCATGTTTGTGGAAACCAAATATTTGGTTTTTATCGGTTTCTTTTGCTTATATGCCATCTTCTTTGATTTATCACCAGAGTTACAGTGGTACCTATGGTTGGTGCCTTTGAATTGGGCAGCAGTAACTATAGGGTAGTTTTAGATCTGAAAGTTATAAAGTCCTTAGACATCTGATTTTTCTTTAAATTGATATAATTCACATGTGCACTGTTCAGTAATTTCTAAAACATATTCACCAGGTTGTACAACCATGACCACTATCTAATTCCAGAACATTTTCATCATCCCAAAGAGAAACACCATACCTGTTAGCAGTCACTCCCCATTTCCTTCTCTCCCCAGTATCTGGCAACCACTAACCTACTTTCTGTTTCTCCGGATTTGCCTGTTCTGGACATTTCATTTAATTGGAATTGTATAGTAATGTGGCCTTTTGTGTCTGGCTTAGGCTGTTTTCAAGGTTCGCCCATGTTGTGGATGTACTTCATTTTTAGGGCTGAATAGTGCTCCATTGTTTGGATTAACAGGACCTTATTTTTCACATGAGAAGGTTAAGGCCCAGGTAAGGCTGAACACATTCACTTTTTAATCACAGTTCAGCTGTTTTCATTATTTTTTATTTCAGAGAGAATCATTGCTCGGCCGCCTCCTGCATGCCCCCTACAGAGGATAGAGCCCGCAACCCTGGCATGTGCCCTTTACTGGAATTGCATTGGGATTCTTCAGTCCCAAGGCCGATGCTCTATCCACTGAGCCAAACTAGCTAGGGCTGTTTTCATTATTCTTAATTCATCGCTTCAAGGCAACTGTTTTCTTCCACTCCACACACACACACACACCCCCCGCGTATAATTAATGACTTTCAATATTGCCAGATTAGGGGTACAGTATTATTCATCTACAGTATAGGAGCGACATACTATTTTATGGAGCTTATAATAAACTAAACAACTACTAAACAACTTAGAGCATTAGGTGGAGTATCATTATTCAGCTAATGATAAAAGCTGAATATTTAAAACATTTAGTTTTGAGAGAGACCTAAGAAGGCTTTAAAATCTTAATGTTTTAGGTAGTTAAAAATTGTGGCCTTCACTCAAGGCTGTTGATGTTTTAATTATCTTATTAGACCACATGCAGAAGTGCTTGGTGGTAGATTGAGCAAAACATCTAAGACCAGAAAACTTTTGATACTAGAATTAGTAAATTGAAAGAAAATCAAAATGTCTTAATTTTTTTTCAGTGTTTCCTGGCTGGCATGGCTCAATGGTTGAGCATCAATTCATGAACCAGGAGGTCACTGTTCAATCCCCAGTGTGGGGCATGAAGGGGGTAGCTGATCAATGGTTCTCTCTCATTGTTGATGTTTCTTTCTCCCTGTCCCTTCCTCTCTGAAATAAAAATATATTTTTAAAAAGTTTTTTTAATTTTACATAATTAAAAAATTCAAGTACGCCAGCAGTCATAGTTGTGAACATTTGCCATTTTTCTGTGGATTTTCAAGTTCTCTTTTTTGGCCGTGCTACTTATCACTAAGTAGAAATGCTTTAAACATAAATTTCCATGGAGCAAAGCCAAAGAAGTCCTCTCCAAAGTAATGACGTCAACAGCTACGTGGGGCAGCCTAAGTCAGATCCTGATTCCTGACCTGGTAGCTCTGGAAGCCTGGTTTACTGATAAAGCCTCCACTGTTAGACTCTCTAGTTCACATTATTGACCTTTTCTTCTCCCTCCCCCCTTCAACAGCAGACTTTCCCTAGTGGAAAGGTCAGAACTCCTGACCTGCCTCCTGCAGTTTAGGCTTTTGGAAGGGAATAAGTAAAATAATATTTTGAAAGTATGCCAGACTCCTGCGAGGGTATGTACTAAGTCTGCTTAGTAAAGTCTGTTTGTTTTAAGGTGGCGAAATTTAGGGCCCATAACAGGTCATTAGCAAAATTAAAAATTTAAAAAAATTTATTAGAATGAACAGTTCTTAAGGTCTGCTTTTTGTTGTTACCTC